GCAGCCTCGCCCGAGCCCATGCATGCGCGCTTGCTGCTCCTCGCGGCGGCAGCAGCCTGCTCGTGCACGCGCCTCCCTGCGTGCCGTGGCTGCGCTCCGTGCGTGCCCCCTGCGCGTTCACTCCCATCGCCCTGCAACCCGTTCCCACAGCACCCTGCCTGCATCGCTGCCTGGAAACACACAGGGCTGCCTGCGCGCAGATACCCCTCTCCTGTGGGCGCGCAATATGGCATACAGTATCGGGAGATCTTCTGGGAACGCAGTCCGGTCCTCTGGCAGCATTGTGTTTTGTTCCTTATTTATATCCCCGGGGTGGTGCCACAGGTGGGCAATTGTTCCAGCTGACAGCCTGAAAGGCAAAGAAACAAGATTTAACTTCCTGCTATTCAATTAGAGAAAGTGAGCATTCATCACCAGCTGCTGGCAGGAACAGACCCACCCGCCGCGGCGGGCGCAGGAAAAGCTCTCTTCGGCAGGAAAGCTGCCTGCTGCCGTGGGCACGGCGAGCTCCTCGTGCGGCCTGGCTGCCAGCGCTGCTCCGAACAGCCTCTAGGTAAGGCTGGATGCTGCCCCTCCTGTCCCACGCTGCAGTCGATGTTCTGTCCTGCGTTTGTTTTTGGGAAGGAGATTGCCTGTTCAAAGGAGCTGTGTGGAAAGCACCAGCGTGGTTCAGGGGGGACTCTACGGGGGGAGCAGCCACGCAAGGAGGGGAAGCCACGGGCTCACAGTGCTGGCAGGAGCAGCAGCACAGTGGCTTCTCCTGGGCCAGCCCGATCACTGCAGGTTCAGCCCCTGCCCTGAACTCTGCACGATCCCTGACCCTGGGGCCTCCATGCTGAGGGTTGGCGGCTTTGGAAGCCCTTTGGACATGCACTTCCCCTCCTCTGTGCTTGAGCTTGTCTTGACCGAGCCAGCAGACACTGGCTGGTGTGTGGAGGGGCAGGGGATGATCCCTGTCCCTAATGAACGGTGGATGACCAAGGGCTTCCTTGTCCCTATTTCTCCACTCGTGCGTGCTCCCTCATGGTATTTTCTGGGCTGAGAAGAGAGGAGAGCACGTGCCCCTGTGAGCTCCATGTCTGGTAACAAACCTGCTTCCATCTTCTCCTGTGCTGACTCTTGAGCCACCCACAAGGCACCCGCTCACCGGGCCCTGGTGGAACCCCCTGCGGCGCCCGGGCTGCAGCGAGGAGCTGCAGGGCTGTCAG